ATCCACATATGAGTGAAAACATACGATGTCTGTCCTTCTCTGACTGACTTATTTCACTTAGCATGATATCTTCCAGTTCCATCCACATTGCTGCAAATGGCCAGATTTCATTCTTTCTCATTGCCGTGTAGTATTCCATTGTATATATAAACCACAATTTCTTTATCCATTCATCAGTTGATGGACATTTAGGCTCTTTCCATAATTTGGCTATTGTTAAAGCGCTGCTATAAACATTGGGGTAAATGTGCCCCTGTGCATCGGCACTCCTGTATCCCTTGGGTAAATTCCTAGCAGTGCTGTTGCTGGGTCATAGGGTAGATCTAGTTTTAATTTTTTGAGGAACCTCCATACTGTTTTCCAGAGTGGCTGCACCAGCTTGCATTTCCACCAACAATGCAAAAGAGATCCTCTTTCTCCGCATCCTTGCCAACATCTGTTTTGCCTGAGTTGTTAATTTTAGCCACCCTGACTGGTGTGAGGTGGTATCTCAGTGTGGCTTTGATTTGTATTTCCCTGATGATGAGCGGTGTTGAACATCTTTTTATGTGTCTGTTGGCCATCTGGATGTCTTCTTTGGAGAAATGTCTATTCAGGTCTTCTGTCCATTTCTTCACTGGATTATTTGTTTTTCGGGTGTGGAGTTTGATAAGTTCTTTATAGATTTTGGATACCTACCCTTTATCTGGTATGTCATTTACAAATATCTTTTCCCATCGCATCGGTGGCCTTTTAGTTTTGTTGATTGTTTCCTTTGCTGTGCAGAAGCTTTTTATCTTGGTGAGGTCCCAATAGATCATGTTTGCTTTTGTTTCCGTTGCCTCTGGAGACATGTTGAGTAAGAAATTGCTGCGGCAGAGGTCAAACAGGTTGTTGCCTATTTTCTCCTCTAGGGTTTTGATAGGTCTCATCTAGACTTTAGTCCCTACTACGAAGTTGTAGTCATTAAGACAGTATGGTACTGGCATAAAAACAGACACATAGATCAACGGAACAGAATAGAGAACCCAGAATTGGACCCACAGATGTGTGGCCAACTAATCTTTGACAAAGCAGGAAAGAGTATCCAGTGAAACGAAGACAGTCTCTTCAGCAAGTGGTGCTGGGAAAACTAGACAGCGACATGCAGAAGAATGAACCTGGACCACTTTCTGACACGAGACACACAAATAAATGTTCGTTGCTTTTAAACTCGAGCATGTTGTTTACTCCATGGAGGGGAGAGAAAGTGTAGCTGTCCCCTCTGCCCTCCTAGGTTCTTGGGCTGGGCCTGAACGTTAGACCATGCAGGTTCGCTGGCTGTGCATCGGGCCTACACCAGGGAGGCTCAGCGGTGAGTGGCTCAGGCGGTTAGAACTGGGGCTTATGCAGCATCGTGACAAAGGATACTGCGTCTTTAGAGAGGTTCCAGGCAAGGCAGGCGACTTTGGGCTTCTGACGGCAAAGTGCGGGGACGTGGGTGTGCACACCGGGCACTGGAGGGACGGCGGGCTCGCCGCGCAGACCCCTGCGGTCCGGCTGGCCGGTCAGGGCCCACAGCCGCCCGGGGCTTGGCTCTCCTTTCCGGGGGCGGGGCCACACCCTGGCCTGTGTGTGTCTTGCTCTCAGCAGACGGGGAGGGCAGAGAGCTTTTCTTGGATCTGCTCGTTCTCAGTTTTCTTCGGCTCAGAGTGGCCCTTCTGCTGCCGTCACTCACGTTGCTGGAGCCGCTGGGCTCCGGGACTCCCACTCTTACTGTGGGCCTCCTGTCCTGCGTTTCTCTTCTCTAACTTACTGCCTTCTCTTGCCTACTCTGTTTCCTCGTTTGAACCTGTCCCACTTATAAATTAGGGAATCGTGTGTGTGTGCCTGTTCTCTGTACCAGCCTCAGATGCCACGTGCATCCTTAGCTTATCAGAGTTTGAAGTCGATCAGTGTCATTATTCTCCTCCTTCTTTTTTTTTTTTTTTTATTTTTTTTTATTTTTTTAATTTTTTTTTTCAATGTTTTTATTTATTTTTGAGACAGAGAGAGACAGAGCATGAACGGGGGAGGGGCAGAGAGAGAGGGAGACACAGAATCGGAAACAGGTTCCAGACTCCGAGCCATCAGCCCAGAGCCCGACGCGGGGCTCGAACTCACGGACCGCGAGATCGTGACCTGGCTGAAGTCGGACGCTTAACCGACTGCGCCACCCAGGCGCCCCATTATTCTCCTCCTTCTAAACACGATGGAGTGGTTAATTCTGTGTCGATGTGGCTAGGCTGCGGCCAAACACCAGCCCCAATGTCACCGTGAAGGTGTTTTTTGGATAATGCTAATATTTAAATCAGCAGTAAGCAGAGCAGATTACTCTCCGTAATGTGGCTGGGCCCCATCTAATCAGTTGAGGGCCTTGGAGAGACTGAGGTCCCCAGAGGAGGAGGGACTTCTGCCGCCACACCGCCTTTGGACCCAAGCTGCCTGCTGGCCTGCCGGCCTGCCAGGCCCCTCAGTTGTGTGACCCCCTCCCTTCAGACCTCGCTCCCCATCTGTATGTGGGCCCACACCCTGTCAGCTCTGCTTCTCCGAGATCCCCGACTGACACGGTGCAAGGACCTTGAGACCTGTGACTTTCATTGTCATTGTCCTCTCCTGGTTCACGCACAGTTTCTTGGGGTCTATTTCAGTTTTCTTTTCTGAGAAAAGAGATGATGTTATCTCGTGTGCTCCGTGTTTGTCCGGGCTCAGCCGGCCTGCGGTCCTTCTTCAGTCTTGTGTCACAGCCTCTCCCCGAATCTCAGCTTTGAGTGTCCACTAGTGTGGGGCAGTGGGTGACAGAACATCACAGATTGTATTTGCCTGACAACGTATTGATTTTGTTGTGAAGGTCTTTTCCAGTGGACTCACACACCCACGTCTGGTTGACGGCTCCGTCCTGTCTGCAGGGTGAAGGCGTCCTGCCGTCTGTGACTCGCGTGTTGTTGCAAAGTCAGCTCCCCGTGAGAATGCTGCCCTCCCCCCACAAAGGGAGTCTGTTGTGTTCTCTTTCCCTTTGTCTTTGGGGTGCTTTGGGGTCATTGGTCTGTCTGGGTGAACGTTTGCACGTCCTGCCTGCAGTCTTTTGGGCTCTGGTTTTAGAAATTGCACTTCCCTTCTCTCTTCACATCTGACTCCCTGTGTCCCCCGGTCTCCTGGCTCTGACTCCTCCGTGTCCCCCCCATGTCCCCCAGTGTCCCCGGGGCTGCAGCCTGTGGTCCCTGTGTCCCCTGCTGTCCCCAGCTCTGACCGGTGCTGCATCAAGCTCCCATGTTTGATTCACGTTCTCATTAATCTCTTGCCGTGAGTCGTGTGCCTTGAAGCCATTCATTGACTGTTATGTTTCAGTGATTCGTAGTTTCTGTTTCTAGAAAATTGACTTAGGGGCGCCTGGGTGGCACAGTCGGTTAAGCGTCCGACT